GAATGGAACTGGGGAATACGAGAATGGGAATACGAAAATGAAATAACGACTAACAAGACCCTAGCTAGCAACTGGGAATCCAATCACCTACCTATTGAATCAAACTGGCGACAAGCAGACTAATACACTGCCTAAAGAGTCAACTGTATAGGGCGTACGAAACTGCGCACCGAGCTAAGAACTCTTAGTAACGACTCCATCCACTGGGAATTGGCTAGTGCACTAAAAGACTGAACCCGTACTTACTGAATTGAGCTACACGAAGCAACTATTAGGCTGGGCGCGCTATGGCTCTCATCTTATAGAACTAAACTACCGCTGATGACAATGAAACTGGGTGCTAATAGATCAAACAGGGAATGGAGCAAACCACCCTAGCTCTATCAGGTAGGACTTTCCACCTTTGCTTTAATAGCTGTACTTTCCATTGTCACAGGGCATTCTTCTACTGTAAACTCAACCTTTAGAATCGAAACCCGGCAGAGCACCCCAAAATCCACCTTCAATTGCGACATACTTGAGCACTGATCCTGCCGTCTGATCGAATTCTCCCATTCCATTCAATACACCCTTACAAAGCTTCTCTTTCAGTTGGAAATCTTATTGCTTACTCAGCTACTTCCTTTCTATTTGAATCTGGTGTGAAAGCCTTAACTACAAGATCTGCATTATAAAGAGGCTCCGTATTAGCAAGAGGGCGAGAAACAGAGGTCGGGTCGGGGGATATTCAATTCCATTCTGCTTTCTAGTACTATTTGGTTGCTCCTTCTTGAGCGCCTAAGTACTTCTTGCCCTTACTTATTAAGGCTACAGGAGCAGGAGTGGGAAATGGAGTTGTGAATCCACTGCTTTCGGGAGTTCCTTTTAGTTGTGAATCCACTGCTTTCGGGAGTTCCTTCTAGATTACTTGCTATGTCTTCGTATACAATTCCATACAAGAGGATAGGTCTACAAGGGAAGCAGCATACTTATAGGGCATAAGGAGAGGCCAGGCCAATAGTATATGACACTGATACTAATGCTAGACACTTTCGCTCCCCACCCAAGAGAGTAAGCTGTCTGGTTACCTATAGAATTCCACTCAAGCATTAGTTACCCGCTCCTATCTGATTTCACTACTATGGGGCTTCAATTACTTAAGGGCAAAGGAACGAAAACAGAACGAGAGACAGGATAGTGAGAATCAAAGCCAGGAGAGATAGACTAACCCAAGGCGGGAGGGATTTTCGTTTTAGAGCAAGTCAGAGCAGGCTTAGCTATAGGGGATCGTTATACTGATCTGTGGAAGCAAGTTCTCAAGTATGGAGTTGTAGGGTGAAAACAAGTAAAGTAGGACTAAAAGCAAGGAACTGAAAGCCTGACAGGCGAACTCAAGAATTAAGTACATTAATTTCATAATATACCTTCATAATAGAACTCCGTATTATGGGATTGAGTAGCGAGTAAGCGAGGAGGTAGATCCAAGTAAAGTAGGAATTGAAGAAGTCACCTATCAAGTAAGGGTACCCGGCTAAGGAGACTAATACGAATATAATAAATCAACAACTACCAGCGTTCATGCATCGTGGGGGACAAGAAATGTTTGTCCGGGAACTTAGCCTTAAATAAAGTAGTGTTTTTAACTACTATACGGCAGGGCGCTTTCCAGTATAAGGATGAGTCGCATCCGGTGCAACTCTTGTTGGCATTAGCTCCAATCCAATCTTGATTCTATAAGTTAGTAGGACTGCCTGGTCAACCAAGGTAGAATAAAAGACAGGAAGTGAGTAGACAAATACAGGTGGCGATGGTCGGGTCATAAGAGTTGGATAGGGGTTTTATAGTTAGGAGTCAAAGAGGGCATTGAGATCCGCCAAGTCCTGTGTTCGCCAGTAAATCAAAGACTGAACCGGGTGTTGAAGAAGTAAAGCCCTATTTAGTAAGTCGGAATACAGATGCGGAATGAACTGTTAGTAGGGTGAGTCTTATGGGCATTGGTAGCAGTGTCTTATGATCTCAGATCTGATGCTGCCGAGTGGGGGTGTGTAATTATAAGAATAGGGGAGAATTTCTCATACTATAAGATTTATTGTCTAAGAAAGGACTTGTACAGGGTTTGATGCGGGGAAGTGGTAAAAGTATTGTATATAATGAATGGGGTAATAAATACGATCTATATTGAAGCCGGTCAGAAAAGAAAGGTTCACTCACTCGCGTTAGTCCGGTGTTATGAGCAAGGAATGTTAATAAGTGCAAGCGTATACTGAAGAATGGAATTGATGCAGTTTCAAGATATGAAGCCATAGAATGCCCAGTTCCTGTTCTGGACCTTAGTTGCCGTAGAGTTCCTGTAGCTCCTTCCCTTGTCGACTCGAGAGGTGATTCTGTTGTTGGTTCATCAATTCATGGTCCTGTTTCTTAGGGACAAGATAGTAGAAGATAGTATAAGACAAGTCAGTATTAGATAAGCGGGGTAGTAGCTAAGTAGAGCTCTTTCAAGCACCAAGTAACCAAGGTGAGTTTTATGCTCACTGTAAACTCCCTTAGCGCAGAAGCGTGAATCAACATCTATGGAATCTTTGTCGGAAGGTTAGACTTAATATGGATTGACTTTCCCGAGGCCTCCTTACGCCCTAGCTTTGATAGTGCTTCAATTCCTTCCTTAGGGCTAACGCTTACTTTCGCTGTTGCTTGTTTAGTAGTAGCTTGGTGGTTCAAAAACGAACTCTACTTGAAACTTATTAAGCATTAACAACTAAGTAGGGAGTAGGTAAGTCAACCTTGCTTTAATTGTGGAATCTATCTCGCATACATATAAGATATAATCCAAAGTAGTTAAGAATCTAGCTCTTACTCATATTACCAAAATCTTCTATACAAGACCCCTCCCCTCCTATCTATCAACTCCTGAGAAATCTTCTGCTCCATACATATTATTCTCGACGGATATTCCATTCATCTTTCTTGGGCCGAGTCTCTTGAAACCGATGTTTGAGGGCGAGATCTACTTGTTGAACCGCTGCTGCCGCTTAAGGCTGCTCTGTTATGAGCAAGTAAAGGCTCGTGGAGCGAGATATCCTCTCTTTCGCCGCCGAAATATTGTATGTATTGAGTTGTGAACCATCAATCATTCGGAGCGTCAAGTGCAATTAGATCCATTTCCATTTCTTTTTAGGATCCATTAGTATCATATTTATGGTTGACTTGGAATAAAGGAAAAAATAGAGTCTCTAGGCTAGGCTAGGCTCCGTTCAGAAAATACCAGATGGGGAATCAATGTAATGGACGATTACCACTAGTATCATAAACGATTCTTATCCGGATATTATATAGGAGTGATTTCAAACGTCCAACCAATAACCAATGGAATAGTCTTATGAAAACATCGAATGGTTGGGGAAAGGCATTCAACGAATTGAAAAAGGAAGTGGTACTGAGAGCATTAGCCGCCCTATATGCTATATAGAATTCGGACAGATCTATTCCCGCAGTAGAACATAAACCTCAAAAGAAAGGAAAGTGCAAACTAAGGGATCTAAATCAGATGGATTCTCTCTATCTAGCTTTCATATTATAGAATCTTCTCTCTATCTAGCTTTCATATTATAGAATAAGAAGAGTTCATTCCATTGCGGAGCCGTATGCAACGCACAGAAGATGCCAGTGACGGTTGGTCCATTTCTTCTTGTTATTCATTTTTGACCTTATATTAGCCCAATCATGCGAGATAGAGGAACCGTTCATTATGTTCTTATCTAAGAGATCAATATAATTAGGGTCATGATTCATAAACCAGCGCTTTTTCGTTTTTCTGAAGCACAAGCAAAGCTGGGGAATATCTCCTGGAAGTGGAAGAACTAGTGACGCGAAACCCTAACAAAGGTGGTTTATGTACACCCTTTTATGGGTTGTATCTGAAGACATGGAAAGGGATGTTGTTCTTATGTCAGCAACTGAAGCCCAAGCAAGCTCATGGCATTGTTGATCTTGTAGCGGTCGAAAATGCAAATACTGGGGATTTCATGTAAATACATTTCAAAACCATAATGAGAATTTCCGGCATTTGTGGTATTGAATAGAAATACGGAATTCTTAAGCTCCAATCCAATCATAAGGTAAAGATCGATCTAAACCAACCCTGTCCTGTTATTAGAGAAATATATTAATAATCTCCATATATATGGACGACATGCCAACTATTCCACTTATTATTAGGAACGAACACAAGACAGCCTATAAGGAATGTGGAGAATTCTCCCGCTCTTACAAGATGTACTCCGCTTAGAATAACATTGACTAGGGTGTATGTGCGACTCGTTCAGATCATGAGTTCGAACAAATGAGACAATTTGGACAGTGTCAATGACCGGTACCAATAAAGAAGGGTCAATAGAAAAGATCCATCAAAAACGAATAGATTATGTATGGAATTTACCGGTACCAATGAATAGGGTCAATTGAAAAGATCTATCATCTCCATATCCATATTATGGTGAAAATCCAATCACCTAGATATTAGATGAAAAGCTATTACCCATTGGTAGAAAATGGTTATCCATGAAGCTATGGAATGGAACAAGGTATTCTAAGAAGCAAAGAGATTATCTCCTATGTAGTTAGAAGCAAAGAGATTATCTCCTATATAGTTAGTTAAAAGAGCCGGACTATGAGGGTCTGCTACCTAGCCGAATTTCATGCCATCACTGTATAGATACATTTTCTTGTGAAAAGAGCTATTACTCAACACATATATATATGTGGGTAGAGCCAAAGAGTGTGAACTATACCATTTGATGAAATGAAAGAGGAGGCTCCGGTGTATAGAGAGGACAGGACCTCACCGTTTCAGAAGTAACCATAGAAAGGATGGAACCCCTATTCTTTAGAGTCCATAATTCCTATATTGATTATTAGCAGGTGAAATGCCTTATTAGCAGGTGAAATGCCTGATAGGCTTTCTTTGATTTGTTTACATTATTTCTCTTATCCATGTGTGAGATATATGTGTGAAGTTCATCCTCTTCCTTGGCGAGAACGCACACGCCTTCGTTCGATCTATTTCTTTATTTCTCCATGAATCGTATGCTTGTTACAATAGCGAAAATATCCTATCATTTCCTATAATCGACCAGAGTTGTTGTGCGCCATAGAATAGATATAATATAACATAACTATACACACACAAACAAACGAATTGTTTAAGATATGATATTTTGTGCCTCATTAATCTTCTTTACAGTCAGTTGTTACTAGATTCTATATTAGTCACACACTATCTTTTATTCTATCGATTCTACAAGCAACGTATATTAAGCTAAGCGCGTTAGAGAAGGTTGCCCTTGACTATACCCTACTGCTGAACTTTGTCAAGCACCTTTACTATACTGAGTCCTTTCTTGACCTTTACTATACTTCACTTCACTTAGTTAAGCTATCATTGATTATACGGAATCTCTGGTATCTCCTCTTCTCTTTCTTTATTAGCTATTCGAAGAGTTTCTTCTCTTTCTTTATTAGCTATTCGAAGAGTGGGAACATATGAATTATAGCCTAATTCAGTAACATGACCCTTTCCTTTCTTAGTAACCTCAGCAGTTGAGAATTCCGTCTTCAATTCTTTCTCTTTATATGATGAAACTTCCACTCGAACAGTTTCTCTATACGCCAACAAAGGTCAAGTTCACAAAAGACTACCTCTAAGGCCAGGCCAAGTTAACCAAAAAGAATAGGAGCATTGCGCTTGATAACCCCTGTGGGCCCACTAGATTTATGGGTTTAGGCTATCGTAAATGCCAAGACCCTTGAGTGACTATTACTATATAACAGAACAGCTGCACCTACATTCCAAAAGTGATGTTTTGAGAGCTGCTTGCTTCTAGGTGGCCGGAAAGTACACAGTATAAGACACAGATCCTCTTCTCTTCTTTGCGCTCTTCCTATAGTTGGTGCACCATGTTCCACTTTAGGCGTTAAGTTCAAGCCAAGTTCAAGGAATAGAATAGCGGCTGGGCAATTAAGCAGATAGGCACAATAAGTGGAGTAACTCGGATTCTATATGTAGGTAGGGATAGCTATCAATCTGTGACTTGCCGAGGTAGGCGCACGCACATATCATATATTCTTTTACTTGCCGGGGTGGGTGCACATATCATACATCTTTTTCTTTTGCAGCACTCTATTCCATTCATTTTGGATGCTTTAGAGAACTCGGGCAATAATGAAGCACTTGAGTATATATAGGGTTCGTACGCGAGTAAGATCAAATAACTAGCAATAGGCTCATAAATAAGGTCCAATCAAGTCTGTATGGAGCTCCTAGGCTTTCGATAAATCCAATCAATCCGGACTTCCAATATGGTTTTCAAGGGCTCGACTTACTGGTAAAGCTCTCTTCTTTCTCTAAGAGTAATGAGTAGAATCTAAAGAAAAATAGAGTAATGAGTAGAATCTAAAGAAATAGAGTCATATAGGTACCACGGAGCGGTAAAGGCGGGTATGATACTTTCATAAATAAGACACGGATCTCATTCCATCTATCTTATCAAAATCTCACTAGGAAAAGAAGATAGAGTTATTCTAAACTTGGGTGGCTCCTACCTATTCATCTTATGCCCACGCTTGGGTTGGGTGGCTCCACCTATTCATCTTATGCCCACGCTTGATAATACCGTCTCAATCGTAATCATCCTTATCGCTATTATATATTGAAATGTATGCCTAATGAATGTTATATGTATGCCTAATGAATGTATAGAATTGAAAGATGTATGTATGTATGTATCCCTAATGTCTAGAGAATAGAATGATCCTCGTTGCATTTTTTCGCCTTAGTAAGTTCAATAGTTCATGGAATTTGAATTGGAATAGTGGCATGCATTCCCTCTTCCGCTCGTTACTTATGTGGGGTGTGGGATTTCTGAGTGTTCCTTCTTTCAGTCGATTCCTCTTGGAGTGAGTCTTCTGGCTTTGCTTACCCTCGCCTAAGGAGATAGCACCTACTCGATCAATCATCATACTACCTAAGGAGATAGCACCTACTCGATCAATCATCATACTACCTAAGGAAGATAGCACCTACTCGATCAATACATCATACTACCTTACTCAATCAATACATCATACTACCTAAGGAAGATAGCAAGCACCTACTCCATCAATCATCATACTAGATTCTATTATCATAGTCACAATCATCATACTAGATTCTATTATCATAGTCAATAGCTAAAGGGGTGGTATCATAGTCAATAGCTAAAGGGATAGTCGTAACGAAAATCCAACAACCTCCTTACTTTGTCTTAGACCAACGTTCATGGCATCGAGACAGTTCTAAGGACGAGACCTATACAACAACTATGAGGTGAGACAGCTTCTTCGTGAGAAGTATTTAATGCTAATAAAGGATTTGCTGCTAATCTGAGTTTGCCTAGCATGGACTTGGAAGCACTAAGTAAGCACTGCATTCAGTCACTCCTAAGAAACACACTATGCTTAGCTGCATACCTTATCTTAATTAGAATAACGCCGAACAGTGTTCAAATGCGAGTTTGATTTTCACCATATCCCTGACATGATCCTAACCCTAAGTAATGAAAAGATCATATGTGAACTAGCAGCTTTTCCCTTAATCTCTGTCTCCGTAATCTTGCCTCGCCCCAAGGCTGCCCCCGGAGCAGTGGGTTTGTTTCTCCTCACTCGATCTAAAACAACCGGCAATGGCTTTTCTTCCTGGCATATGTACAACTATAGAATATAGTCCAGGCCTCAGCTCCTCGCATTCGATTTTCTTTTCTTTCGCTTAGGCTGTTTTCAGTGAGAAGCAAAGTTTCGTTAGCAAGCCTGTGACTGCAGACTAGTCTATGCTCAGCGAACATTCCGACCTTGTCTCGACTCGATGCTGACAGTTCAGTGGGCAGAGAGAGAAAGGCAAAGCAAATAAGTAGTTCCGAAAGACCTAGCAACACTCACCTCAATGCTTAACTTAATGAAATAACAAAGATGCTAAAGAAGAGAAGAGAAGCTACATCCACTACCTAACCCTTACAGGCTAAGCTGAGCGTACCAAGGGAAGGGACTTACTGACCGAAGCAGCTCACTAATGCGACTCCAGACAATAACAACTTCAGATTCCTTGCAACAAGTTAGAAACTTGAAACGCCTTACAGCAGTACGAAGTAGTAGTAGCTGTAGGAATAGTGGGAAAATACACTTCATTCATTCGTCTGAGTCGTCTTAGTCGTAGGATGACCTTCGTTACCTTCCCTTTTTACCTTAACAGCTGAAATCAAGCATTCTTTCTTCTTTATTTGATACGAGAGCACAATAACCTCTCTCTCTACTACCGACAACAGAATCACCTCCGAATACTTTCACGCAAGAATCTCTCTTATTTGGCTTATGGGGCTGGGCGCACCGGGTAAACATGTGGTATAGAAGAAGCTTGAGGCTCGAAGTTAAGTACTATTAGTCTAGGCCCTACTGTTCGAAGTCAAGTAATCACTGCTCGAAGTCAAGTAATCACTGCTCAAAGTCACATCTAAAGTCTCGTCTCGTTGCTTCAACCCAAGTGGGAAAGCAATGTAGTAAGGTTAGTTAGGTTCCATTAAATGGGTGCATATTCTTTTATGGCGCTTAAGGGCTAGGCATCAATGACAAATTCTATTAGTTGCCCAGGATAGATTGATTTTGCATTTCTAAAGAACTCGCTAACGGGAGAGCTCAATCACCTCACCGGAAGACAAAGAAACGAAAACAGGACTGGAACTGTGAACTCTAAACTACGTTAGCGCTTAATTAGCATATCCTAACCTTTTCCTCGAAACTCACAACTCACACTGCAGCAAAGAATGGAATATAGATAATAGTGCAACGTATAGAAAGAAGTTAGGTAAGAGTGAACTCCAAAGCTTGCTTACTGATTTGATACTGATGAGTCTCATCAAACTGGAAACTTCTTCTTCTGTTATCGATGTCGACTTTCCTTTCATCTCTCTTTTGCACATGGTGTTCGTCAAGCATTAACCGCTGAGTGTGGGCATGAGAAAGATGGGATTCGGATGAAACAAGAACTGGATTGACAGCTTTAGACAACAACTAAGATTCTTAACCGAGATCTACTAGACATAGCTACAGTTCCTGACCCACCCCGACGCAGAGCTTCTCTCTACGACAACACTGGAAACCGTCCCGTCCGGAGCAAATATGGTTTTGAGCGTTAGTGATCGGGCTGCTTACTTGAGACTCATTAACTCCACTTACGCTATTAATTAGGACTACTACTGGGATTCTAGCCGGTAAGTTTCTTGTCTTACAGAAGCACTAACACCAATTTCACTAGTGCTGTCTCTCCTCAATACGGAATGGACCTCTATCTCGCCTACCACGTGCTCTCAACTCCAAATCCATAATTTGACTAGCCAAAAAGTAGGAATGAAGCTGTAACTCGAGTAAACAGAATGTGAGTTTCCCGATCCATATAATAGATATGATGAGTAACTAACCTAAGCTGGAAAAGAAGCTTTCTCAAGTAAGTAAGTCGCAATCGGTTCTTCAAATGATAGTGTAGTTCTGGTTTTGTCTCCGAGAGAAGAATCTTTGTAAACTGGATCAGAAGAAAGATCTTCATCAGCAGTTCCAGTGTAGTATCCGACAAGCTACTACGGTACAGGAAAAGCCACAATTGCTTTAGCGGGAGCCTCGGTAGGGATTTTCACTCTTTTTGATTCTTTTCAGTAGCACGATCATTAGCTAAGAAATTGTTTGGTTATCTCGTTTAGGCCGAAGCGATTGCCTTGTTTGCCCTAATGAATGCATTCCCATACTCCAGGCAAGATAAAGAAAAGACCTAGTACCTTGCTTGTCCCTCTTTTTCTTTCTTCCCGGTTGACTCTCTCATCTGCTTTGAATTAAATCAACAATCCACTTTCTTTCCCTTAAGTCAGGGGCACTTAGTTTTTATACCTACCCAATAAGTTCTTGGGCATCCCAAGGGTGTTCCGATAAAAAACAGAATGAATCTCAAAGCCATATGTCCTTTTCCACCTTATCGTTGTCGAGAATCCAAAGTGTCTGTCTGTCTTAGAGAGGCATTTTCCTCTTTCAGAAAGGCATTTCTTTCATTATGATTTGACATTTGAGAAAAGTATCCAAAAAGAAAAGAAAGCATTTTGTTAGCATTAGCAAGGTGGGTTGTTGGTAAACGAAAGAATAACTAGGCTATGGGGCTCTCTGAGCAAGTCTAGACTTCCTAGGAGGCATTGGATATTACACTAAGCCGGGGGGTTCGTTCACCTTATGCCCGTCGGTACGAAGTCAGTTGTGGGATCGGGGGCTCCTCTATGCCAGGGCTATACTCTCTGATTGGAAGATTGGCAGACCCCGTCGTGATCCAGGAAGGTCATGGTAGGAGGCAAGATGCATACCATAAACCCAGATCATTTAAGCTTTTTTTGTTATCTGCGTGATGGTGGACCAAGAAAAGCAAACCCCATTTCCATTCGCCAAGCGTATACTTAGCCACTACTAACGACCAATCCTGATCCAGCATCATCTTATCTTTCAACTAATAACTACCTAAGCGCCGAGTTAACTCAAACATCCATTGAATCTCTTTCTTTTGAATCTTACTGGCTTGGCTTCCCTTTTGCCGAACTCTCGTTTCACAGCAGAATAAATGAAATCTTTCGAGCTCCCGTAAGTGAGCGGTGTGGTATGACTGAAGCAATGGTAGCAAGTAGTCTAGTTTTAGGCTAACCAATGGATTCTTTCCTTTCAAGGGTGAAAGTAGCAACAAATAATTCTTCCACTTTCCCCCCGGATCATTGATTATAGTGGTCAACAACTCCCTTTCAGTTAGCGGGTGTAACCTCTTCATCACTTTGAGGCTCGGCTCTGAAAACCGCTTGCTGTTGACCTGCCCTTTCGCACAGCTGATGATCTTTCTTTAGATCCCAATTAAGCTTCTGCCCCAAACGAAAACGAAAAGTGCTTATGCGCTTGAGAAAAAACCTTTCCTTTAGCACCCCGTAACTGAAGCCAGTAAGTGATTTGCTTGTTCGGTCAGCAGCAAGATATGGATATGGGGAAGGAACTTCCAGTCTTGTTTCTTTGTCTGCGAGTTCATTTCTGGGCTACGAGGTTATTGATTGGCTTGATCTTTCTTGTCGTGGAAAGAGAGGTTAAGGTGCAACTTCTTATTTCTATTCCGTTTTTCAAAGAGAGTTCGTAAAGGATAGTTCTGTTCGAGCATTGTCAACTCGAGAATAAGCGGGTGTAAGCTGTTCGAGGGTAAGCCTCATCTCCTCTTCTTGTGAAATTAGTTGAAGAAGTTGGGTTAGGTAGAGCAGTAGCAGAAGCCTCAAATGGAGCTGGTGAGGAAGTGCTTTTGTGTTCAGTGTATTTACTCCCATCTATACTAAGTGTTTTACTTATCCTAATTCTTAGTGTGAACTCATCGAAATGAGGAAAGCCAAGCACCATTACTATATTGATTGTTGCCCAGCGCCCAAAGAGAGTCATTAGTGTCCTATTACTTGATTCTAGACTCAATACTCCTACTTCCTTAATACTTTACTGACGCCACTGACACCGAAAGCTGGAATGGAACTTGCCCGAACCGAACTCGTTTTAGATTAGCACTTGTTCTTGCCCTCACTCGCATTATCACTGAGTCTTGATTTGATCCGAGTCAACTCATTCATTCTCGCAATCCATTTCATATTCTATCTCTTGGGCATATAATCCAATATGAGAAAGAATCCATCTCTCGTCTTTCGGTTATACACAATACACCTACCTTTCCACTCTACTGGATACTAACCTTCCTTCGAGCAGAAAGTATTGATACAACATTGGATACTTTACTTGGAGCACATTAACAAACAACTAAGTCGGGCAATTAACTACTCAATTCTGTGTGAAGTCAACAAAGAATGAATTGCATCTTTGAAGCCGCGGATCCAGATCCATTCATATTAAATACTTTATTAATAAGAAGTGGGGGAGACAATGAAATTAGCCGAGAATAAACAGTTAGTATGGAAATGATAAGAAAGAAAGTACTTGATTTTTGGATATGAGTATTTTCAGTAAGTATCGGTAGTTTGGCTCTCGCAGTATCTCCCCTCCTAGGTCAGTTCCATTGAAATTCCTGTTTTCGTCTTCAACTCCACTCGGGCTACCTCAATTCTCTTCTTTTGGATTCATAAGCTGTCCGAGTTCGGGGTGCTGGTGCATTAGCTTACTCTTGGGTCGGGTCGGGGCTTGCAACCTATTATTTGGAGTCTTTTTCTCTATGGGAAACAGCTATTTATGGAAATCTACTATTTCAACTTGGAAACTGTGAAATCTACTATATTCAACTTGGAAACTGTCCTTCTGATGCATATTAACCTAACATCTTAGGCGCCGAGGCCGAGTCTACACGGATGACATCCACATAGTAACAACACGGATGACATCTATAATGCCAAAGTTGTCTAACTGCTATTACGGACTCCTTACTCAACAAGAATAGAGGATATGCGCTGATGGTTCCTTTGAACAACTTCCTCTTCCCCCACGGAGCGATAAGGCTAGAGTATAGGATTGATATATTAGTATGTGGCTTGAATCGATATGGAAGTCGCC